TGAAGTGCAAGCTGTATTGTTCAACAGATTTCTGTCATTCCAGTAATTACCTCTAGAACCTGTCAAATTTCTGCAATTAGTTGCTTGGAGCGTGGTAGAAAAATTTCGTGGTAGCCTCAAGCTACTTTACTTTACATAATAAATAAAGGTATAATTTCTGAATACTATTGGTTTTTGGTTTTTACGCGATTAAGTACGGAATAGTAATTTTCCAAGCGTAATCGCGTACGAATAACTACTAAACAGAAAAAATGTGAAATAAACGCTATTTTAAGCTGCGTAAATTACTCAAAAAAAAGCCAACTTTTTCAACAAGCTTCTCTCATAACCAACGAAAACTAAAGTCAAACAATCGCCACAAACAAAATCTCCAAGATTAATGGATATAAAAAGCAGGGTTTTTCTGAGGCGACAATAATTCAAGACAGTTGATGGATGCCCTCGACATATCCAGGCGATGCGGTCACGAATATAAAAAGCTGCTTTTGACGGCTGGAATCGGTTAGATTGGCGCCCTGGCGGCTGCTTATCATTCGACGTCTGCTTATCATTCGACGGCTGCTAATCATTCGGTAGCTGCTTATCCTTCCGATCCAACAATAGCCTCAGCACATAATGGATGTGACCCTCAATGATAGCTTGGGCTGCAGAGGGTCGTTATCATCTGCGAGGAACTGATTTGTAGCTGGGAGAGTAAGCTGAATGTTGTCTTTCGGTGCATGACTTTTTTAAACTTTCAAAACCGATAATAGTGAATGCGAGCACTGAATTTTTATTGTACGTGCAATCGTTATACAAAGCACTTTTTTTCGTCAATGAAATTATTAAACTAATATAACAGTGTTTCAAGATTATTTTCAAATCAATGATCGTAAATCTACTCAATCAGGCTAGTGCAACACTGCTTCAAAAACTATTCTCAAATCACTAATCCTAAATGAAGTTGAAGTTACACTTAAAGATGCGACTCATACCCCGCAGCATAAAATGTGAATAAATTCGTAAGATAAGTTAAAAAACATTTCCTAATTCCTGCATTACCAAACGCGAGGTATAATGGTTCTTATTCGGTTTTACGAGCGACAGATTTCGAAAAACTTCATAATATTCCTCGAAAAACTTTATTAGATTTCTAAAAAAGTATTATAATATTTCAACGAAAGTTCATTCAATTTGTAATAAGTAAATACAGCAACTGGGTGTGGGTGGCGTGAATGTATCAACTCAAGACCCAAAGCACGTACACATGGAATTGTATAACGAACTCTGAAGGACAGAAGGAACACTGTGATGTTCTGCAGACATAATCCTGTTGCACTTTCATTACCAGACACGCAGATTAAGGTGATCGAGCAAACGATGTTGTCCACAGACGCGTTCTGCAGATGGCAGACAACTTTTGTTTATGGCTATTTCTTCGGTGTCCAGCTGCCTGCTGCAGATGGCATAGCAAACCGCTGTCTGTTTACATCTTCTCAGCAAGCATTGCCATCTCTCTGTGTTTTAACGTACGGTATACAAAAGACACAGAGATGCTTCAACACCTCATTTTAGTTCGACTGTTTGAGAACCGAAATCTTTGATCGCAAAGAAGGAGAAATAAACACTCTTAAATACTTAACTAAAATTTAAAAACGACGCAAAAGTTTACGATAAACCATAGTTTTATTAATTTACAAAAGCACAATATCCAAAACTACCAATACTACCAATATCCAAAACTACCAATACTACGCATTTACTACCGTAGATGCGTAATGGTGATAATAGTGAAAAAATTAAACAGTTGCCCGACTCCGCAATAAATACCGCCAATGACTCGAGGAGCACGTAAATCAGCCTCTCTATGTCTGTTTCAGCTCAAGGTTTGAAGGGCAGCCTCGGAGTAGCTTGAAAGCTCGGCCAATAATTCTCATACTTTAAGGCGAGTAGAAGTTTGAAAGTAAATTCTTAATAGAAGCCGATTTCGATCTGGTGGCTAAGCAGACCCCGAATATCTTCAAGTGTAGCGACTCCGGAACAGAATCCCTTGGCATCAACCAAATTTTGTTAGAGATCCGAGCACGAACACAATTGCGAGCATACCGTTATCCATTTTACATTGCTTTATTCCATTCATCCTTCAACGTATCTTTTGCATCAACAAAAAACAAATAATTAGCAGTATATAATTTTATTCCTAACATCGTAGAAATATAATAAAATGTTTTAAACAAATGGTGTGCCTGTCTCTGCTACATTTCGAAAATGAATTATTGCATCAATTATTTAAATGATAGACCATATAAATTATATAGTCTATCTATACCGAGCAGGTTTCATAGCCTTACCATCCATTTTAATTTTCGGCGACTTGGCCCAATGCTATCCTTCTTGAAATGTTATCAGAATTGAAAAGTAGAGGATTGAGCCAAATGCAACTTAAAGTAGCCCCTCAAATGGCAGATTTCAGTCACGTTCCTCTGCATTTGCAGCGCTGCAAGATCAGAAGACGTGAATCTAAGTACTGCCAAGTCAGACACGAGTTCTTGGTAAGCATGTAACAAGTTCGGTAAGCTGATGCATTTCTCCTTCCGTCGAAGCTGGCAGGAATCGCTCGCAAGATTCAGCAGTCTCTCCGTGACCAGAAGTATTAGCATTTAGACTGCATTTCCGCTCCTGTCGACAGGGTTCTGTTCCATGGGCTAATATTAGTGCAAGTGCCTTACGGATTGTTGGAGTACGTGATAAAGAAATGAACGCGATATCGGCTACAGGGCAGTCAGGATTTCATCTTAAATCCCTTGGCCTCACTGATTGGTCGATGAAACTCTACGACCCAACGCCAGGTCTCGCATTGGAAAATACATCGAAAATCTCGAAATAAAATGAGAACAGAACTATCGAAGGCTTTGAGTCAAACCTGAAATTAGATGATTTAATTGAGTAAAGTAAAAAATAGCTGAGAACACATGCGTTCAACACAAGCATTTTTGTCAAGATTTTACGTGGATTTCCATGCAAGTGTTTCATTACTTGCTGTAGCTAAAATCAAGAGTTCTAACCAAATTCAGCACGACATTCAAGCAGTAAAACAAAGCTTACACATTCATTTAATACTATTAAAAGCTATGTTATAAAAAATTGGGCATACAGAAAACTACTTTTCATTGCATCGCGAAAAAACTCGTAGATATACGTGCAAAATGTTCTCATTCCCATTACTTTCTTTTAGCAAAGCGACAGAAAAAGATTCACCATAAATCATTTGGTTTCCCCGACCGGACATCGGACCACGCACCTACAAACCATGAGTTCCACACCCGGCAACCAGCAAAAGAAGTCCATCAATAATTCTGTAACGATTTTTTCCTGTTTCTTTAGGGTAAGACATTGCGTGATGGCAGTCGCTTTACCTCAGCCCGATTGTGAAGCCTCGAGCACCGTTTGCACAGAACAGAGTGTAAACCTTTCGCCTAACCGGTCAAAGACCAGACTCGTGTACGAATAGTTTCGAGACTCTTTGACGTATGCTGCAATTAATCGAGAAAACTTTATGGGTTTATAAACCTGTGGGGTTCTTTGAATTTTCTAAAAACTTTCCTCATTTTCACTCCAAGCTAGTTACAGTTCCAAATCGCCGGCATATTTTATTTGAGAGTATAGTTCTTTATTCATCACTCTACAATTGACGCACAATTGAAATGGATTCGAAATCTCGACCCTCTTGGTTTTTCTTTAATCCTTTTTTACGGATACATTATCCGCTGCCAATGATATTCGTACCTAAATAGCTGGTAATGTGAATTACCGTCATAAATCTTATGTCTACGAACACAATAACTGCCGTCAATGTCATACGTGTGAAAATGCAAGTTAACAATTATTATTATCATTATCAGACAAAGAACTAAGCCTTCATGAACAGATACTTTAAACTATTTTTTATCATAAACCGTCTTCAATGCAATACGAGTGAAAAAGCTCTCACAGAATAGTGACCGTTAGCAGGAAAAGGTCCGCACAGGCGCCGTGGTCGGTAGAACGCAAGTAGTTAGCGACCGACTCGAGTTTTCTTGCCTTGCGTATCATCGCAAATCAGAAGACCATTTGCGCTCCTACAGGCGCTATCCGGGTCGTTACAAATGTAAAAAGGTTCTGAGGGGAAGGCGGGGTGTCGCTCTGTCCCCAAAAAGGTTCTGAAGGGTAGGCGGGGAGTCGTTCTGTCCCCAAAAAGGTTCTGAAGGGAAGGCGGGGTGTCGTTCTGTTCCCAAAAAGATTCTGAAGGGTAGGCGGGGTGCCGTTCTGCCGTTCTCTTCTATACTTGAAAAGACAAATAGCTCGACGATAAGGTTTTATAAATCAATCAATCGGTATGAAAATGGTTTAACAAAACTCACTCACGGAGGTGAAATTCTAAATGAAATATTGAAGAATATTTCACTCAAAAAACGCTCAGCCAAAATTTTCACGGACCGGAATAACCTTCGATTTAGAAACCCCGCGTTTTATTGGTAGGCACGTTGAGTAATTGCCCCGCTGCCCCTCTTTGGAGCACCGTCATATTTTTTATCTGAGCGATGAGGTGTGATCCTTTCCAGTCCGCCCTGGAATTTATCTGCCCATTGAGACCAGCGCACCCAAGGCACGTGCTTCTGGACGCAACCTCAATAAATACCGAGCAAATCCTGCAGCTTCTTAGGTATTGGTTCCGGGGAAAAATTATTCAGTTTGGTATTAGTTGTGTTTGAAAAATAATCACGGGCAAGAGAAGGAAATAATAACGTGAATCCACCAATTCAAACTTTAGACATTTAACTTCATTTTATTTTTAAATAAAAATGCAAATCACAATGAATAATGAAGTTTTCGTGCAATGTTTCTTCGCCTCTACCTCAATAAGTCATTTCCCTGTTTTTCTCCTTACCCCATCTATTTATATATGTATATATAAATATTCCTGGCAGCATTCTGTGAGTTAAAATATGGACTAAAATTAAGGATCCCTATATATTTCTCAGAGTCTGCCGCGACCGAATGGCGGAGCGAACGGCCACTGGGCTCGCAGTTCCGCAGTACCCTACGACCCCCGAGCTGCGGCCGCGAGTTTTGATCAACGTTGCGTGGGCGCAGCCGACATGAGAGGCTCGGCTACGCATCCTTCAGACGATCCGAGTATCGGTGCTTACCGATGCAAGGCAGCCTCAACCATCCTCAGAGGAGGCAGTTTGGGTAATTTGCTCAGCGATGACCAAGATGAAGCCATGAGAGTAAGAAGCATCGAAAACTTCATCGCCGAAGAACGCACCCGGGGCCTCGACGTTGGTGTGGACGGCGCCAAAGAACAACAAGCAGCAGGCGTCTGGCAAAACCTTGGCGGCACTGACAAGCGCGACATATGGGGCAGCAGTAGCCGGCTAGAAGACGAAAAGAATTCCATGGGGTCTAAGGAGAGCTCTCGAGAGTGGGGCAGTTTAGGAAGTCAACTCACCGCTACAACTTTATCAACTCCCACTCGTTATGGCAATAAGAAAATTAATTCGAGAGCCAATAGCGGTGATTTATCGCACATCGAAAATCTTCGAGAAGAGGCAATTGACTCATTAAATGTACAGAATCAGTACGCAGCAGAAGCTAGTTGTAGAGCAGCGCATCGCTTACAACCTCTGCTTCTTCAGTCAAACTACCATGATGAAGCCCCAGCAAATCGTGCCAAAACTTTAAAGAACGCAGAATCACAAACGAAAATCTCTCGAACAGGCTCAACATTTCTCACTGGAGTTAGTGATATAGTTGGAGGGATCATTGGGATGCGATCGTCATTTGGAAATAGATCCGTTAGAAGACGCAGTAAAGCTAAGCGCAAAGCATCCGTAGATCAGAGAGTCTTGTCAAAAAGAAAGGTGAGCTTCGGAAATTTTCGTGGGCGGAGAAAACGAAGTGCAGAGACCAGCAGCACCGAATTTATCGATGAAGGCGGATTTGGTGATAATGCCAGAGAAGGCCATCAGAGAGATGGCATCCAGATGGCGTCGGGTGCAAGTGGCATATTAGTTGAGAGAAGTGGCGTAGTGAGAGAACGTTCTTTAGACAGTGATACCAGACGGACAGATGCTCATTCTGTGGTAACAATGAACAAGAGTGACATTGAGCTGGAAAAAAGATGTAGGAGTTTGTCAAGAAGAAGTATAAGAGTTGAAAGCGGCAGTAATGCTGTTGGTTCGTCGCCTGACAGAAGCGGTCGCTATCACGTCACCGAGTACAGCTTTGACCAGCCGGACTCGCCCTTCGAGGAAGACAAGTACGAGTCCAACGCTCCAGCGACATGCAACAGGAGAGGTAAGCCCAAGTTTAAATTAGAAATAAAACTAGTTGACAAAGTCATACATTTTAGTTGACAAACGAGGAATTATTCAGAAATTTATAATTTTGCTGATTCGAGTAGAATTAATTGATTAGAGGTTTAATTTTGTTTAATTTAAACAATTTCCAATTTTACTATTAATACCACCGATTTTTTATGTATGAGAAATATTTACGCATTTTTATACAACATTTTAAATATGCAGAGGCCAAAAAATGTCGTTACGCATAGTTATTCGCAAATTTTCGCACAAAACTATAAGGTGTGCACTAAACTCAGATATATATTTCTTTAACAGTTACTCTGGTCTTCAACAAAACCTCCTTCAAAGAACCCAAGCCTTACTACACCAGTATATTACTGTACTTGATGTGCGTTTCTGTACACCTTTCCATTGAGGCATAGGGTAATTCACGGAAACTTCCTGTTCTATATTTTACGCAAAGCAGCCAGATGTAGAAAAAAGGCGGGCAGTATTTCATATGCAAGACAAGGTCATGAAGTTTTATGTCCCGCCTGTCCCTGCCACTATACATTGGACAAGTGAGCAGTGTGCGAGGGTGCGCTTGCTGTCGAGGCATACTTCTCTAATGGCCGTTCCGTTATCGCTACTCAACGATCATTCTGTACTCTGTTTCGTATTCGTCCTTCAGGTCGTGTTCTTGATCGGAAATCCGGCCCAATCCCCCGATTTGGCTCCGTGTGAATTTTTATGGGGGTTATCTTAAATCAATTGTTTACAATGATTTGAAGAAGAAGAACACCCGCCTCATTTGAAGAACAACATACGCCAAGCCATCGCCAACATATATACCCGTCAAAATGCTTCAGCGGGTTGAACGGAACGTCAAAATCGACTAACTTAATGCATGGACAATGGGGCCGTCATTTGTCTGATGTTATCTTTAAAACTAAGGGGGGCAAAAACTCAGGTAATATCTTTCGCAATAAAATTTATATTGTAATGATATCTTCAGTGGTTCTTTTTTATTAAACTTTCAAATCAGGAAGTTTCCGTGAATCGCTCTGTTTCTATAGCAATTAATGTACATATATCCATTATTAATAGATGGCAGGATTTACTTGTTTACACACGTGCGATTGATGACCAGAGAATTCGTTGGTTTATATTATCAGGGAGTGGAACTTTTCTTCAGATGACGGTAGATAAAAAGGCAAGTTTCAGAAAGTAGTTTTTCTTTATTAACGACGTTTCGAATGCAACAAACATTCATATTATTAATAGATGGCAGGATTTACTTGTTTACACACGTGCGATTGATGACCAGAGAATTCGTTGGTTTATATTATCAGGGAGTGGAACTTTTCTTCAGATGAAAAAACTACTTTCTGAAACTTGCCTTTTTATCTACCGTCATCTGAAGAAAAGTTCCACTCACTGATAATATAAACCAACGAATTCTCTGGTCATCAATCGCACGTGTGTAAACAAATATATCCATTAGTATAGGTTGGCAAAATTTGTTCCTTTAGCCTTTAGGCAGGTTTCATTGATGGGCTGTATTAATTGATGTACTGATTTAATATATCCATTAATGTACGAATTTTCATTAATGTGTGAATTTCCATTAAGGTACGTATTTCCATTAATGCAGGCATTTCTATTGATGTACGAATTTCCATTGACATACGAATTTCCATTTATATACAAAGTTCCATTCTTGTACATATTTCCATTAATGTACGAATTTCCATCAAGGTGCGTATTTCCATTAATGTAGGCTATTGTATTGATGTAACGTGGTTCTAGTCATCACCCGCACGCCATGCTCGGCAGGATCATCAACGTAACTTTTAATGAACAACTCAGGGGCGGGAGGATCTACTCGCTCATCATCATATCTCCTCACGAGGAAGATGCCACACATCAAAAGAACCAGTCGAAAAAGCACGAGCTTCTTCTGATTGGATGTTGAGGAGCTCGTAAAAGTTTTATCCTGAGAGCAATCTTCCCTTTCGACCGTATTGTCAGTCATCAATTTTGCTGGGAGCGAGAATTAGCTGTTGCTCGGTCCTGTGAATCGCCCAACTTTGCCTTCAAAAGAGAAAGAAGCGATGGCATGCCGTCTGTTTCCTGAAAGATATATTGCGTTTGTTCATGGTGGAATTTTAAAAGATGGTTCATCATTTATATAGAATATTTTTTTCAATAGCTCCTTTGGCGAAAAACTATTTTTAATTTGTGAAAATTATTTCGTAAATACTGCTGTTACTTTACAGATTTGATGTTCCAAATACAAAAAAATATAACACAGTACTCACTGCAGTGAGTGACAGAGAGCGCATTTTCTCGTCGACGAGAACTTGAGGTCACGGACAGACGGACGGACAGACAGACAGACGGACATGGCGAGCACAATAGTGCATTTTTTCCATAAATGAGAAAATACGCTAAAAAGTAAATTGCATCGACGATATTAATTACGTTCGAGTGTAAATCGCTTGCGTACATCTTGAATATTAGTATAAAAATTTCACGAATTTAAGCTGCTAATTTAAGCTAACTTATAACTACGACGAACTATTAAATCTTTCAACTCATACATAAACATTAATTTTATTCTGCAAACTATTCAAATGTCAGTCTCTCCCACTGCTGTTCAGGCATACTTAAAGAACTCGTAATTAACGCTAGTGAAGTTTTAATGGACATACTTAAATCTCAGGCGAGAATCCCGTAGAGTTTTCAGACTATGGCGTCTGCCCCACCAGGCAAATGACGGTCAAACAAAGATTAATTATAAAACGTTGAATTCAGCGTATATTTAACGCCCGATGCCTCTGGGTCATTCATTTGCTTGTAAAAATGAAAAATAGGAAACGCAATGGCAGAAAAATAATATATTGTCGACAAGCTCGTAACCTATACATTTATGGTGTACGGAACTATCTGAATGAATGATACAACAGTTTCTCAATATTTCAGTACTATACATACACAGGATATAAAGTTTTCGGCAACATCTGCGAAATATTCTCGCGCTCTGCACTAATTAGCTCACGTAAAGTCGTCCCGAAACGTTAGCTTACGTAGATTGCAGTGCGTTGCCTTATTAGTGCAGAATCAACGTAATTTTTAACAAGATACTTCAATTCTGGGAAATCATAAGTGTGATAGAATTGCCACAGAAATTATTTCAAGTTCTAAAAAATCTACGCGTATTAAATACTTTGAATGCGATCATTTGCAAACGTTACATGATTCCTTTATTTGGCGTGCGATTTTCGGAAAAGGAATTAAAACTTATTCTTATGTTCTAACTTGAGACTATCCAAAATGATTCTTTATTAAGCTGGGGGATATTTTTAATTTGAGGTGAGGTATAACAGCTATTTTAATATTAAATCTCATGAATGAAATAACTCAAAGTCTAACATCGATCTCGGCTCGAACACGCTCTGTCAAAACAAGGATTTCAATTTAAAAACAAGCCTAAAATATCACTGGACCAGCCGATGAGTCAGCAGCATTTAGAATCAGTAGGAATTTCCTTAGTGGAGCAGCGCGGTCTCTGAAACGATCCCAAATTTGCCCTGGAAAATAGGCCTAAATTTCATTTCCATTTCGTGCGCATTGAGTCTGGCCATGAAATAACTTGACGGACGCCATATTATGAAGGTAATTTCAGTGCCGCATTAAGCAAGTAACCATGGCAGGCTCCAACGGCCGCAACTTCTAAAAGAAGGAGCATCGTTCTTCAACTTTGAGAATGAATTAACTACGCGCTCCATTAACCAGAGGAATTTGTTCCGTTTCAGTCCGTGATGTTGATGGTCAAGACAGCCAAAATATTCTGGACTGTTAAGTTTCTTGGAATAACTTACTGCAATCCAATGCATCAAGAAACAATATATAATACAAGCTTATTACCTGATTTTGTCTTGCGGATGTTGCAGGCAAAATATAACGATCAGGTCCAATACACAGAGAAGTGCAGTCAAAATTTAGATTCCAGTATTGCTGACATTGGTGGTCTTAGTATATTATGTATAATATATATTGGCGTGATGCAGCCAATATATATTATATTTTTGTCAATTTTTCATCGAACATGAGCTCTAAATAAACAACAATTAACTTCCCTCCAGGAAAATGACGTTGAAATTATGTTGATTACAAGTTAATATCGTTGAAACACCGGCAAATCAACGTAATTGCAGCGCCCAAATGTCAGGTAGGAATCCTGCTGTTTTTATGCACAGATCTTATCCGGGAGGCAAAGAGTTCGAATCCCCGGCATGGGAAGATAGGGCAGCGCACGGACGTGGCCGTGGTCGGTGACACTCAAAACTCGGAAAAAATCAAAAGATGTAATCAAAATAAGGTCAAATATGACCAAAATTTTATTATTTTCATGAATAGTCTCGATGCGTCATGTGTTTCCACAAAAACATAATCGGTTTTAAAAAAAGTTATTGTAATTTAGTACACTGTAAAAATATTTAAATAACACCGAGTGATTTTTTGTACAATGAATATTTTTTTTCACGATCCAATGTTTTGTGAAAATCCTTAAAGATCGAAAATGTTTCTAAGCCCATTTATACGCTCGTGAGTCGTTATAATACAAAAGGACTGTTTACTTTATTGATCTTCATCTGAAAAACATCCTCCTCTCCAAAAATTACTCAGCGTTATTTAATATTTTACTACAAAATCTCAGTGTACGTATCATGCGTTGTTGGATCGACCTAAGACATGATGTTACTTATTCATTATAAATTAGAATTTTCTTTTCGAAAACCAGCCTTCAGGTTCGGGAAAACATGTGCGCTCATTCTCAACTTTTCTCCGCTATAGAGTGGCTGATCTCGGCTTGTTTGATCAGATGAAGTACCTGCAACTCCATGATGTGCTGCATGCGCTGAAATCAAATCCAATTTATTTTCAATAGAAAATTCAGCAAATTATTTGCGATGAAAATCAGAGTGACGGACGGACGGTATTGAAAGA